GTCCACTGCTCCTCTGCGTGCCCCTTTGCCTTCTCCTCCCGAGTCCTCTCTTCCTGCTCTTGCTGACCCGGAGTCGGACTCCCTTCGTGCTGCCAGCCCGACTGTCACGCGTCTCCTTACTACTGTTGTCACTGACCCTTCCTTTGAGTCCACTGCTGCGTCTGCCCTAGTTGCTGAGCTCGTCGACTTTGCTGCTCGCTGTCGTCTAGACTACGCTGCTAGTCTTGTTGCTGCGTCTGAGTCTGTCTGTCCTCCGTCCGTTGGGGGTGAGTGTGACCTCGGCACGGACGTCCTTGAGGACAGACAGGAGGAGTTCCAGTGTTTGGCTGCTGCTTCACCTCATCTCGTGTCCGTACTGCTTACCCCTGAGGGAGACCCGGATGCACTTGACATCCCGACTCCGCGCTCTTACGCGGAGGCGATAGAGGGTCCCTACTCCTCTCAGTGGCAGGCAGCTATGGACGCAGAGATGGCTTCCTGGAAGTCCACAGGCACCTACGTTGACGAGGTTCCCCCACCTGGGGCGAACATCGTCAGTGGCATGTGGATTTTCAGGGTGAAGCGGCCGCCGGGTTCTCCGCCTGTCTTCAAGGCGCGTTACGTGGCTCGTGGCTTCAGTCAGCGGCAGGGAGTTGACTACTTTCAGACCTTCTCTCCCACCCCGAAGATGACCACTCTTCGGGTACTGCTGCACATAGCTGCTCACCGTGACTACGAGCTACACTCTCTTGACTTCAGCACTGCTTTCTTGCAGGGCAGCCTGCACGAGGAGATCTGGCTGCGCCGCCCACTTGGCTTCACTGGGACTTTTCCTCCTGGCACCCAGTGGAGCCTCCGGCGGCCAGTCTACGGTCTCCGCCAGGCACCGCGTGAGTGGCACGACACACTGAGGACTACGCCTGCGGCTCTTGGGTTTGCTCCCTCTACTGCCGACCCGTCGCTGTTTCTGCGCACCGACACTTCTTTGCCGCCGTTCTACATCCTCGTGTACGTCGACGACTTGGTCTTTGCCACAGCTGACACTGCTGGACTCGCCCACGTGAAGTCCGAGCTGCAGAAGAGACACACGTGCACAGACCTGGGTGAACTGCGCAGCTACCTTGGCTTGCAGATCACCCGGGACAGAGCACGCCGCACCATTACCCTGACTCAGTCACACATGGTGCAGCAGGTCCTTCAGCGCTTCGGCTTCACGTACTCCTCGCCTCAGGCCACTCCTCTGCCTACTCGCCACTCGCTCTCAGCTCTGCCTTCGGATGAGTCCGTAGAGTCGAGTGGCCCGTACCCAGAGCTTGTTGGCTGCCTCATGTACCTGATGACCTGCACTCGACCTGACCTTGCATACCCTCTTAGCATTCTCGCACGCTATGTTGCTCCTGGGAGACACAGACCGGAGCACATGGCTGCAGCGAAGAGGGTGTTGCGCTACTTGTGCAGTACGTCGGGCATGGGGCTTGTGCTTGGAGGGCAGAGTCCAGTGGTCCTCACTGGGCACGCAGACGCTTCTTGGGCTGACGACCAGGCTACGCAGCGGTCGTCACAGGGTTACACCTTCAGCCTTGGTTCCGGCTCTGTCTCGTGGCGGGCTACCCGCTCGTCTTCTGTTCTCGGCTCCAGTTGTGAGGCTGAGATCTACGCAGGGGCCATGGCTGCACAGGAGCTTCGCTTGCTCACCTACCTGCTGACTGACCTCGGAGAGCCGCCTCGTTCTCCTCCAGTGCTGTACGTAGACAACAAGGCCATGCTGGCCTTGTGTCGGGAGCAGAGACTGGAGCACAGAACGAAGCACATTGCTCTTCGCTACTTCCTTGCTCGTGAGCTACAGCAGCGTGGTCAGCTACGCCTTGCGTACGTGGCCTCTCAGGCCAACACTGCTGATATCTTCACCAAGGCACTTGCGCCTTGTGATCATCAGCGCTTCTGTACTCAGGGCAACAGGAGTCACACTGGCACAGCGGCTACCGGAACAACGCTCCGGACTACTGGAGTAACTGGCTCCGCGGCTAAAAGTAGCGGCAGACGAGCAACGGACCCACGGGCGACTGGCACAGCTGGCTGCGACTGGGCTACCGGAGCAACTCCCCGGACTACAGGTGCTGCTGGCGACACGACGGCAACCTCAGTTCAACCTCCCCAAACAGTCCCACTCCCCCTGACACACACCCCTTGCTTCACCCCTAGCTCCACTCCCCCTTCACCCCCCTTAGTACCACTCCGACGGCTCCAACAGGTCCACCCCCCTCAGCGGCAGCTGCAGCACTGGGAGACGGAGGAGGAGGAGGAGGAGCAGGGGACGGCACACAGAAGCTGCACCCCCAGACCCCCCACCCCCAAACCCTAATTCAGGAGAACGGGCAGCAGCAGAGGTGGGGCGCCATCAGAAGCACGGGGGACAGCGGGCAGCGCAGGGGCAGCGAAGAACGGGCCGCCCACGGGCCTGGCACAGCCGCCCGAACCGCGCGCAGGCGGCCCGAGCCGCGCGCGGGCCTGGCGCAGCCCGTACGGGCCGCGCGCGGGCCTGGCGCGGCCCGTACGGGCCGCGCACAGGCTGTACGAGCCGCGCGCAGGCCACGACGGGCGACGGGGGGCGACGCGCGGGTCCCCATCGCCCGTCGCAGCGCCTCCCGGGAGCGACGCGCGGAGTGACGGGGCAGAAACCCGCCGCGCGCCTCGGGGCGCACGGCGGGCAGACAACCGCCGCGCGCCTCGGGGCGCACGGCGGGCAGAAAACCGCCGCGCGCCTCGGGGCGCACGGCGGGCAGAAAACCGCCGCACGCTCCGAGCGCGCGGCGGGATGAAAAATCCGTCGCACGCCACGGGGCGTGCGACACAGAGAGTAGCAGTAGCAGCGGAAGCAGTGAGGTGGTGAGCCCACCCACAGGATCGACCCAAGGGGATCGACCTGCTCTGATAGCATGTTAAAATAGTAGATAGAGTTAGGAGCCATAGCTAGGTAAGTCCTAGCTAGGCAAGAGAAGTTTAGGCAAAAGAAGAAGAGGGGGTTCACTAGAAAGCAGCAGGATACATATAGGAAACCCTAAGGGGTTGTACTCGCTATAGAGTACCCCACTGCAGGCTAGAGAACAATGACATTCTGACAGGTCTTGTGCCTACCTTGCCTCACTTGCTTACCCCTTGGCCTTGTGGCCTTGAACTTGTGCTCGGAATGTGTGGTGACGTTGTGATCCACCCTGAGCTTGCTTTGCTTTGCTTGACTGGTCTTGTGACCCCTTGTCCTCCCCCACTTTGCCTATGGGGGTGTGTCAGATTTATATGACTTAGCTGCTGTAGGCTATAGTGGGGTAGCACATATGGGGTACAGCTTTCTAAGGTTTGTACTTGTACCCAACTTTCCCTTAGTCTTTTCATTCCTCGTTCATTTTCACACGCACACCATCGACACCTCCAGCGGGATATTCGCTGGCATGTGTGGTTGTGAGCAGTTTTAGGATAACTCCAGTTAGTTTTGCTTTTCTGACCGTTCAGTTTCATTCGCACAGTGTTTCGTAATTACATTACGAATGTGCAACCAATCTTCCCGGAGTTACTGTATTTTCGGTTGTTATTTGTTTTTACCCTGGCCCGCCCCCATCGTTTCTCGTCATCCTTCCCTTTCCCCGTCCTCTTTCCTTGCTGCTCGAATCCACCCATCCTTCCCTTTCCCCGTCCTCTTTCCTTGCTGCTCAACCCCACCCCATTCCAGACGCTCGCGTTTATGTATCAGCATCAACCCACCACCTAATAGTTTATTTCTTTTCTAGCTTCACGGTTTCCTGCCGCTCAGTTTCGTCTGCTGCTTCATCTAGTTTGCGCTTAGTAGTCTCTGCCTTAGCTGCCGTTTTCTTCCATTACGTATATGTGATTCCCTGCGGATGTCAAGTTGTCGGTTTCCTTCCCTTACGTTCTAACACCTAACATTACATAATCCCGTAGTGTTGTGTTTCCGTTTCTGTTTTCTGTCTGTTATTATTTCTTGCAGTTAATTCTACTGCTACTGAAGGACAAAACACGATCGGACGTCGTCCATGTGTTGACCGGCGGCAGCCGCTTGCTTTTCTTCTGGTAGGTACAGGTTCCGGTAGGTACCGATTCACTACCTAATCCCGCAGTGTTGTGGTTATGTTTGTCTGTGTGTGTTTTTTTTCGGCAGTTATACTACGGTTCTTGCTTGGCTACTTACAAGAACAGAACGCAAGGTGCAAGTCTTCCTTGGGCTGACTGTCGGCAGCCGCTTTCCGTCACTGGTATGTACCGACTCACAGGGTGATTTTTTCCCTGTGGCTTGTTTCGTCAATCTTGTTGCTACTGAACTTGCGTGCTCTCTTATCTCTATTGTTGTGCAGCGTTGTCGTTGCAGCGTTCTTGATACCGCTATCGCCTAAACTTTAGATTAGTTTAGCTTGCTGGTTAGGTAGGATTTGAATGTATTTTACCGTGTAATGCTGATTTTAACTTTTACTGACTATCGTAATTCGGCTGTAATAGCCCACCAGAGACCCTGGAGAACCAGTTGATGAATATCGTTGATAAGCGTTAAGAAGTGTTAATCCAGCTGGCATGAAGAAACGTGCAGCTTTAACGAGCAAAATAAAATTAATTGTACTGATTTTATTATTAATTACCGTGAACTTGTTACCTTAATGTTACCTGGTTACCATATCATGTAACAACGTTTTTCGAAGTGGTGCATCATGATTATGCTTTAGAGCTCATCTGGATTTTACTGTATACATTTGTATTCAGGTAACGAGTCATTTTTAAAACAGTTCAGGGTCGACTGACACAGTGACGCGCGTAGTGTTCCAATTCGGCGCTGCAATCACTCTGTATTGGTTTTGACCAATCAACACCTTCGCAATGACCCTTTCTCAAATTGAGGAACAAATCGCAGCTGACCATGCAATTCGCACACGCGGTGTTACCGGTTCGCTTGTGCATCCCGAAGTATCAGTCATTTCGCCGATCACACATTCGTTCCCACCCGTAAGTAACTTTGCAGAATGTTTATTTTCGGACGGCCCCAACCCTCACATCGCATGATTCTAGTATGTTCGCTAGTAACTGAAATTGATCTCTGGACACCTACCACAAAGTAACTAGGAATTAGCTTTGTGGTAGGTTTAGCTTCCCATCATTTTTGGGATGCTCAGCGCCGCGCGCCCTCAGCCCCGCGCACCTTTCCGCCTCTGAGCATCGCTCTGCCCGCCACCAGGCAGACATAATCATAATCCCAGCACCAGGCAGTGCGCAGCACGCAGAAGCAGCAGGCATGGCGGCTGAGCTGCTCTCACACCTCCCCTTGCCCGCCTCGCCGCTCTCCCTCGCCCTCACGGCCGTCGTGGCTCTGCTGCTGCTGCGCGTGCTGCTCGTGCTGCACGCCGTGGCGCGGCCGCACCGCAAGAGGCCTCCTGGCGACCACCTTTCCACGCTCATCGTGCTGGGCTCAGGTGCTCATCGTGCTGCGCTCAGGTGCTTATCGTGCTGGGCTCAGGTGCTTATCGTGCTGGGCTCAGGTGCTTATCGTGCTGGGCTCAGGTGCTTATCGTGCTGGGCTCAGGTGCTTATCGTGCTGGGCTCAGGTGCTTATCGTGCTTGGCTCAGGTTCTTATCGTGCTGGGCTCAGGTGCTTATCGTGCTGGGCTCAGGTGCTTATCGTGCTGGGCTCAGGTTCTTATCGTGCTGGGCTCAGGTGCTTATCGTGCTGGGCTCAGGTGCTTATCGTGCTTGGCTCAGGTTCTTATCGTGCTGGGCTCATGTGCTCACATTCGCACTCCCCCTTGCTCCCCTCCCCCGTTCTCCACGACACATGCATCTTTTCCTCCCCCCCCACATCACCTTCCGCCCTCACGCTCGTTTTCCAACCTCACTGCCGCTTCAGCAGCTCGTGTTTCATGCAGCCGCGCAGCACCGTTGCTCCACACAATCCTTGCTGCGCCGCACCCTGTGCCCTTTCTTTCTCCCCACACACAGGCAACCCCTTTTCGCACGCCATACAAGTTTCACCCCCCCTGCTTCCCCCACACTCACTCATGCTCGCCTTGCTGCTGCGCACCCCCTACCTCCTGCACCTTCCTCCCCCCTGCATGCTTCCTCCGCCTGCGCCGCTACCCTCCACATACGCCCCTCCCTTTCCCCGTCCTCTCAGGGGGCCACACGGCGGAGATGCTGTGTGTGGTGGGCGCCCTGGACCACACACATACGTGTTCACCCTCCCTGCTCCTTCCACAATTACTCCCTTCCGCCCCGCGCCCCTGCCTTTCCTCCGCCCCCTCAGGCGGCCACACGGCGGAGATGCTGTGTCTGGTGAGCGCCCTGGACAGTGGGCGCTACAGCCCGCGCTGCTACATCTGCTCCCATCAGCCTGCCAATTCGCGCCTCTCTTCCCCCTCCCCTCCCCCCCTCCCCCAGCGGCCCACACAGCGGAGATGCTGTGTCTTGTGAGCGCCCTGGACCACACACATACGTGTTCACCCTCCCTGCTCCTTCCACACTCATTCCCTCCCCCCCCATGCCCCCTCCTTGTCTCCCCCTCTCCCAGGGGGCCACACGGCGGAGATGCTGTGTCTGGTGGGTGCGCTGGACCACGGGCGCTACAGCCCGCGCTGCTACATCGCTGCTGCCACCGACGCCATCAGCCTGCCCAAGGCACGCCAGCTAGAGCAAGCCCTCGCACAGGTGAGACCCACCACTCATCTTGCGCTTATCCTCTTTTTGCGCTTATCCTCATCCTGCGCTTATCCTCATTCTGCGCTTACACCGTCCCCACTCCCATCCCCCCCCATTCCAGAAAGCAACCACTTCCCCCCTCGCCCCTGCCTCGGCCGCCCCCCCCCCTTCGTACCTATCGGGGTATTGCAGTCGAGAGGTGGAGCACTTATACGTCACCTCCATGCTCATCCTGCGTTTTCCCCACTCCTGCTCGCACATCCCATGCATAGCAGGAAGCGCCTGCTCCCGCCTTGCCTGTCCCGCCCCCCTCGTACCTATCGGTGTATCGGAGTCGAGAGGTGGGGCAGTCATACCTCACCTCAGTGCTCACCACCATCGCCGCCACGCTGCACGCCATGCTGCTTGTGGCGCGTGTCAGACCCCAACTGGTGCGTCCATCCATGCCGCTTTCCTCTTGTCTCTTGTGCTGCTGTGGCTTCGTTTCTGTTACAGTCTGATTTCTCGTGGACCTGCCACTCAGTGGCATGCCATTCCATGGCATAGCATTCATCATAGCATTCCTGCGCTCTTCTCTCATCACAGCTCATCATTCTTGCCCATCCGTGCCCGTCCTTGTCCATCCGTCTCGCTCCATGCATATGCAGCTGCTCTGCAACGGGCCGGGCACCTGCCTGCCAATCTGCATCGCCGTTTTCACACTGCATGTGAGGTGCATGTGAGGGGCATGTGAGGGGCATGTGAGGGGCATGTGAGGGGCATGTGAGGTGCATGTGAGGTGCATGTGAGGTGCATGGGAGGTGCATGGGAGGTGCATGGGAGGTGCATGGGAGGTGCATGGGAGGTGCATGGGAGGTGCATGGGAGGTGCATGGGAGGTGCATGGGAGGTGCATGGGAGGTGCATGGGAGGTGCATGGGACTACATCGACTTTGGTGCCTCCTCCCTTTCTGCACCCACAGCCACCATCTTCATCACCATACATCGGATGTCCCCTGCTCTTCCCCACTTCTCACACCTTCCCTGACTCCAATCTGACACCTGTCTCCTTCCCTTTGCGTTCCCTGCACAGCCAGTCCCAGAACACAGGAAAACAGAGCAAGGGGGTGCGGCTCATGCGACTCATCAGAACCCAATTCCGCAACCCCTTACCATCGTGGTGGCAGGTGCTGGGAGTGCAGAGCAGCAGCATCGTGTTCGTGGAGAGTGTGGCGCGCGTTGCAGTGCAGCACCTGTAGGCACTCACATGTGGTTTGTGTGACTCATCATTACCTGATCCGACAACCCTTCACCATCGTGTTCATGCAGGTGCTGGGAGTGCAGAGCAGCAGCATCGTGTTTGTGGAGAGTGTAGCACGAGTGGACCACCTGTCGCTCACAGGCCGCCTGCTGCACCGCCTGGGCATCGTAGACCGGTTCTTCGTGCAGTGGCCGCACCTCACCAGCTCATGCAAGGGCACCCACTATGTGGGCCGCCTCATGTGATGCTCACTGGAAGCGAGCACCGCAGCTGACTCGGCTGTTGTTATGCTATTAAGAAATTCCATGTACAGTATAGTTGAAGTTTGGATGGGATCCATGAGGAACTCCCTGGCGGTTGTTGTCAAATGTTATGACTATGGTCTAGGCTATAGTGGGGTACTCACTAGAGAGAGCAACCCTGTTATGGTTGCATATTTGTGTCCGAACTCATCCTAGTCAATTCATTCCGCTGCTTCACACTTTAAAATGGTATCGAGTAGGTTAGGTCAGTGTCTACTGCCCATCACAGCTACTGTCGCTGTACTGCCCCACGCCACCACGCTGCCCTGCCCTGCGGGCTCTGCCCTGCCCCGCGTGAGCTTCGCTGCCCCGCACTTGCTGCACTGCGCGCTGCTGCCCCGCTCGCCGCTACCCCGCGAGCTGCTGCCCCGCGCGCCCCACTGCCCCGCGCGCCCCACTGCCCCGCGCGCTGTTGCTCCTCGCGCTGCTGCCCCGCTGCCCCGTGCGCTGCTGCCCCGCGCGCCCCGCTGCCCCGCGAGCTGCTGCCCCGCGCCCCGCTGCCCTGCGCGCTGCTGCCCCGCGCCCCGCTGCCCCGTGCGCCGCTGCCCCACGCGCTGCTGCTCCGTGCGTCGCTGCCCCGCGCACTGCTGCCCCGCGCGCTGCTGCCCTGCGCGCCCCGCTGCCCCGCGCACCGCTGCCCTGCGAGCTGCTGCCCCGCGCCCGCTGCCCTCCGCGCTGCTGCCCCGCGCCCCGCTGCCCCGTGCGCCGCTGCCCCACGCGCTGCTGCTCCGTGCGTCGCTGCCCCGCGCCCTGCTGCCCCGCGCGCCGCTGCCCCGCGCGCCCCTCTGCCGTGCGCCGCTGCTGCCCGTGCGCTGCTGCCGCCTGTGCGCCGCACCGCTGCTGCTGCCGCCCTTGCACCCCTGCCGCCCGCGCGCCGCCCAAACCCAACCCTAGCACTAACCAAGGTGTACACCACCTAGACTAAACAATCCAAACTATAATAGTTTGACACACTGCCATAGTCTAGGTGATGGTAGTTGTGTGGAGAGCAATACACAACCCAAGTGAACCAGTCAGCAAGAACAAGCAACGGTCACAAGACCAGTTCACAAGAACAAAACAACTCTCGGGATGGATCTCAAGATCACCACAAAGTCCGAGAACAAGCAAGGGGCCACAAGGCCAGTCCACATGCAGGTATATAGCGGATATAAGAGATGCAAGGGTACAAGACATGCATGACAAGCATCTCTACAGAAGCAAGGGGCCACAGGGCCTGTCCACAAGCAGAGATATAGAATATATAGTGAGGTGCAAGAGTACAAGACAATGCATCTCTATGCAAGCAAGTGAGGGCCTGTAGACACAAGGCCAAGCTGGGTGCAGGAACGTTGGTGGTCACAAGGCGGCAACGCCTTGGTGAAGATGTCTGCAGTGTTGGCCTCAGAGAGACCACACGTCGCAGGAGTGCCTGGCCACGCTGCTGCAACTCTCGCAGAAGGAAGTAACAAAGCTGGATGTGCTTCACCTTCCCAACCAGTCGGGGCTCCTCGCACAACAGGATAGCAGACCTGTTGTCGGCGAACAAGACTGGGAGAGAGCGAGGCCGCTTACCAAGGTCGGTGAGGAGGAAAGACAGCCAGCGAAGCTGCTGGGCGGCCATGGCCGCAGCGTACACCTCTGCCTCACAACTGGAACTAGAGACGGCCGACGCCCGAGTCGACCTCCACGAAACAGCTCCGGTCCCAAGGCTGAAGCAGTAACCTTGTGTAGACCGCAACGACTCAGCGTCGTCGGCCCATGACGAGTCTGAGAAACCTGTAAGTGTAACTGGCTGCTTCCTCCAAGGACAAGTCCCATGCCTGATGTACTCGCCACATACTTCACCACCCTCTTGGCAACGTACCAGTGGGAAGGTCGGTGTCTCACAGGCGCAACAAAGTGCGCAAGGACGCTAAGAGGCTAAGCTAGGTCTGGGCGAGTGCAGGTCATCAGGTACATGAGACAACCCAACAGCTTAGGATATGGACCAATGGACTCAAATGGCTCGTCCGAAGGTGGAGCGGTGAGCCCATGATCCACAGCAAGAGGGGTGGGCTGTACCTTGGAGAACAGGAAGCAAATCCGCGTGAGGATCTGCTCGACCATATGGGACTGCGTGAGCGTAATGGTGCGAGCTGCCCTGTCCCTGGTGATCTGCAGGCCGAGGTAGCGCTGGAGCTCAGCAAGGTCAGTGCAAGTGTCTCTCCTCTGCAGTTCCTCCTTCACGGAGGCCAGTGTGCGTCGGTCGGGAGTGGCGAAGAACAGGTTGTCAACGTAGACCAGAACAAAGAACGGGGTCGAGCCACGGCGGACGAACAGCGACGGGTCGGCAGACGACGGAAAGAAGTCAAGTGCTGCAAGAGTCGTACGTAGCGTGTCGTGCCACTCGCGGGGAGCCTGGCACAGGCCGTAGACCGGTCGACGCAGCTGCCACTGGGTCTTAGGAGGGAAAGTGCAAGTGAAGCCAGGCGGACGACGCAGCCAGATCTTCTCGTGCAGGTTCCCCTGAAGAAATGCGGTAGAGAAGTCCAAGGAGTGCAACTCGTAGTCACGCTTTGCTGCAATATGCAGCAACACCCAAAGGGTGGTCATCTTCGGGGTGGGAGCGAAGGTTTGGAAGAAGTCTACCCCCTCTCGCTGACTGAAGCCTCTCGCCACGTGGCGCGCCTTGAACACCGGTGGTGCTCCAGGCGGCCGCTTCACCTTGTAGAGCCACATGCCACTGACAACGTTCGTCCCAGGTGGTGGGACGGCGTCGACGTAGGTGCGTGTGGACCTATTAGATGCCATCTCTGCCTCCTCAGCTTCTATCCAGTACGAAGCCCAGGGTCCTGAGACCGCCTCAGCGTGATTGCGAGGGATCGGGATGTCAAGGGCGTCTGGATTTCCCTCAGGGGCAAGCAGCATGGCGCAGAGATGAGGAACAGCGGCCGCAAGGAAACCAAGCTCGAACTGCCTATCCTCCAGGACCTCTAGGAAAAAGACAGGAGCACCCCCAGAGGACGGAGAACGAGCAGGGCCACTCACCAGGTGAGCGGCGTAGTCAAGACGGTGGGAAAAGGCAACGCCAGCGACAATGGTAACAAGAGCCAAAACAGACAACAAGGGTGCAGTCGGGCGAGTGACCAACGCGGACAGAACACGGGAGACGACGGGACGGGAGGCACGGAGGTAGTCGGACAACTGGTCGTGAAGCAGAGTGAAGGACGACTCAGGAGGCTGTAGAAGGACTGGAGGAGATGGAACACGAGAGCAGATAACAAGGTGAAATGGACCGTCTGCACGGTAACAAGACCGACGGGGCTCCGGAGACACAGCACGACTGAGGGGAGAACGACGAGTCCATTGGGACGAGGAAAGGGACTGGACGGGGGGAACACGAGGGGACAATATGGGACCACGAACCAAGCGTGCATGTGCTAGGTCAGGCAGGTCGCGCAGTCGAAGTCGCTGCTGCTCCGCCTTCTCTAGCGTCTGCTGCGACGGTACCTGCCCCTGCTGCTGCTCCTGCGGCTCCTCCTCTGCCCTCTCCTGCTGCGGCTGCAGCTGCACCCACTGCTGCGACCGGGACTCCTGCGCTGCCCTCTCCTGTTTCGGTCGTGACTCCTATACCCTCTCCTGCTGTGTCTGTAACTCCACCTGCTGCTGCGGGCGGGACTCTGAGAAGATTTGAACAAGAATGAATGAACTATGAAATGAAGTGAGTACAAATATGAAACCCTAATTGGTTGTACCCCCTATGGGATACCCCACTATAGCCTACACAACAGCATAAGCTACAATTGTCTGACACACCCCCATAGGCAAAGTGGGGGAGAACAAGGGGTCACAAGACCAGTCAAGCAAAGCAAAGTAAAGCAAGCTCAGGGTGGATCACAAAGTCACCACACAGTCCGAGCACAGGGTCAAGGCCACACGGCCAGTTCACATGCAAGAGTACACACATATATATAAAGCTAGACAAGCAAGAGCAGGTATATATATATGTGAGAGTACAAGCAAGGTCAAGAGGAGAGCAAGTGAGGCAAGACGGGCACAAGACCCAGCTGAGTGCAGAAGCACTGATGATCACAAGGCGGAAGTGCCTTGGTGAAGACATCAGCAGTGTTGGCCTCAGAGGCCACGTACGCAAGCCGCAACTGTCCACGTTGCTGTAGCTCATGAGCAAGGAAGTAGCGGAGAGCAATGTGCTTTGTTCTGTGCTCCAGTCGCTGCTCTCGACACAAGGCCAGCATGGCCTTGTTGTCTACGTACAGGACTGGAGGAGAACGAGGCGGCTCTCCAAGGTCGGTCAGCAGGTAGGTGAGCCAGCGAAGCTCCTGTGCAGCCATGGCCCCGGCGTAGATCTCAGCCTCACAACTCGAGCCAAGAACAGAAGACGAGCGAGTAGCCCGCCACGAAACAGAGCCGGAACCAAGGCTGAAGGTGTAACCCTGTGACGACCGCTGCGTAGCCTGGTTGTCAGCCCAAGAAGCGTCCGCGTGCCCAGTGAGGACCACTGGACTCCGCCCTCCAAGCACTAGCCCCATGCCCGACGTACTGCACAAGTAGCGCAACACCCTCTTCGCTGCAGCCATGTGCTCTGGTCTGTGTCTCCCAGGAGCAACATAGCGTGCAAGAATGCTAAGAGGGTATGCAAGGTCAGGTCGTGTGCAGGTCATCAGGTACATGAGGCAGCCAACAAGCTCTGGGTACGGGCCACTCGACTCTACGGACTCATCCGAAGGCAGAGCTGAGAGCGAGTGGCGAGTAGACAGAGGAGTGGCCTGAGGCGAGGAGTACGTGAAGCCGAAGCGCTGAAGGACCTGCTGCACCATGTGTGACTGAGTCAGGGTAATGGTGCGGCGTGCTCTGTCCCGGGTGATCTGCAAGCCAAGGTAGCTGCGCAGTTCACCCAGGTCTGTGCACGTGTGTCTCTTCTGCAGCTCGGACTTCACGTAGGCGAGTCCAGCAGTGTCAGCTGTGGCAAAGACCAAGTCGTCGACGTACACGAGGATGTAGAACGGCGGCAGAGAGGTGTCGGTGCGTAGAAACAGCGACGGGTCGGCAGTAGAAGGAGCAAACCCAAGAGCCGCAAGCGTAGTCCTCAGTGTGTCGTGCCACTCACGTGGCGCCTGGCGGAGACCGTAGACTGGACGCCGGAGACTCCACTGGGTACCAGGAGGGAAAGACCCAGTGAAGCCAGGTGGGCGACGCAGCCAGATCTCCTCGTGCAGGCTGCCCTGCAAGAAAGCTGTGCTGAAGTCAAGAGAGTGCAGCTCGTAGTCACGGTGAGCAGCAACGTGCAGCAGTACCCGAAGAGTGGTCATCTTCGGGGTGGGGGAGAAGGTCTGAAAGTAGTCAACTCCCTGCCGCTGACTGAAGCCACGAGCCACGTAACGCGCCTTGAAGACAGGCGGAGAACCCGGCGGCCGCTTCACCCTGAAGATCCACATGCCACTGACGATGTTCGCCCCAGGAGGGGGGACAGCGTCAACGTAGGTGCTTGTGGACTTCCAGGAAGCCATCTCTGCATCCATAGCTGCCTGCCACTGAGAGGAGTAGGGACTCTCTATCGCCTCCGCGTAAGAGCGCGGAGTCGGGATGTCAAGTGCATCCGGGTCTCCCTCTGGGGTAAGCAGTACGGACACGAGATGAGGTGAGGTAGCTGCCAGACACTGGAACTCCTCCTGCCTGTCCTCAAGGACGTCCGTGCCAAGGGCACACTCACCCCCGACGGACGGAGGACAGACAGACTCAGACTCAGCGACAAGACTAGCAGCGTAGTCTAAGCGACAGCGAGCAGCAAAGTCGACGAGCTCAGTAACGAGAGCAGACGCAGCAGTAGACTCGAAAGAAGGGTCAGTGACAACAGTAGCAAGGAGACGCGTGACAGTAGGACTGGCAGCACGAAGGGAGTCGGACTCCGGGTCAGGAAGAGCAGGAAGAGAGGACTCAG